TTTCCCACATCTCCTTCCTTTCAGTACCCAGGATAAAGAAGCAACCCATAGCAGTGGGGGTGGCAGAGATAGAAGAGCAATGGTAGAACCCCAGATAGCTCTAAGGGATTTTTCTAGGACTCAGCATATAACACTGTTCATAATCCACTGGCTAAAACAAACCACACATCCCAGTCTGTTGTTATATGAAGGGGAAGGATAAAATCTTCTTCTAGGGAATAGTGAGAGAAATTGTGATGGACAACATACACAAAAAAGAAGTGTGAGAGTTGAAATTAAAGCTGAAGTTTTCTCATCCTTAAATTTGATACTATGGGACTTAGTGTACTGTGGGGGTGAATGAACATAGTAAGCAAATAGTTTATGAGCTTAGAGGAGAGGTTCAGCTCAAGGTAAAATGTATGCTACTAGAGGATAATGCTGTAAGGCCATGAGACAGGATGCAGTCATCAAGAGAGAAAGGATAAATGAATAAGCAACAACAAAATCAACATTTAGTGTCTAGAGAGATAAGAAACAACCGAAAGGAAACCAGTAAAGACCAGTCAGCAGGGTCGGTAGAAAACCAAGATGAGAGTTTGGTAATTGAAGAAGAAAACAGTGCAGGAAGGAAAAAAAAAAGGAGTTAACTGACTAATGTCATTTGCTTGAAAGTTAGATCTAATGGTATGAGATCACTGTTGATGTAGAGTCTTGACAAATAGAGTTTTGGTGGGGTGGTTGAATTACAATTTTGACTGTAGTGCATTTAATATGAAATTAGATGGGATCCTTTCCTATGTAGAAGATCAGCCTTATGTAGGATCAAGGGCAGTTTGTACACTCAAAAGGGAAGGCCATTATTAGAAGAAACATGGACTTAAGTAGACAGACAAAAATGAGGGTGGGGCCTTGAATAAGGGCTCTTCTAGACACTCTTACATTTATTTTTTTTCTTTTAAACAAATGCTGGCAGAAAGATAGAGCATCTCTGTGTACTGCTGGAGACACGCTGCTGAGACACACTGAGGTGTAGGCATCAGCATTGTGGGTATGCAATGAAAGTTAGACAAGTCAACAGAAAATGTATTTTTCTCAAGCTTCATTTTACTCTGTGGGTGCAGAAGAGAATAGGGAGAAATCTGAATTTAACAAAGATTGGAGTTTTTCCAAGCCATGATGAAAAAAAAAAAGAAAGTCAGGGAAGAATGCAGGGGTTACATGATGATGAATTAGAGAGTTTCATCTGGGGAAAAGAAAACAGAACATAGAGGTAGCCCTGGATAGGAAAAATGAGGAAATTTCAGTTGATGATTAGACATTGAGGATGTAAAGGTCAGAAAATGGGATGCTTAACATTGAGACTATGAGGGGACCAGCATGTGGCCTAATGGTTAGGTCACTGAACTCCCACGTAGTCGACTGCAGTTCCAGTCCCAGATGCAGTGGCTTAAAACTCATGCCAGGTGTGTGTGCATGCATGCCCAAAATCCTGAGACGAGAATGGAGGAAAAAGGCTTGTCTGGCCCACCACCCTGTGAGGGAGTGATTTCTCACTTTCTGTCTCTCTATCTCTTGGGCGAGTTCAAGGCCCTATAGCAAAAATCTCTCTCAAAAAAAAAATGAGACTATGTGGATGTGTTGTAGTCTATGGTAATAATAAAGTCAAAATGTGACTTTGGAAGATAAACAGGTAAACTAGAGTTGAGAGATAGATCATTCATTAGATGTATTGAAATACCCATCTACATGGATATTACGGGGTCATTGGGAAAGTCATGATGCATTTTCACATAGAAAAACACATCACGATTTTCCCAAAGACCTAATAAATATCACCAAAAAGGATAGCAAGAATAGAATTGGAAAGAACTCAATGAGCCAGGAACTAAAGACTTAAGACAGTGAGAGGGACTAATATGAGGGTCTATAGACCACGGCAAACAAGAATAGTGAGTATTACATTTTGACGACCTGTGCCATAAAGCTGTGTGTGTATGGCAGGGACAAAGGAATTAGGGAAGTGTCAAAGAAAATTGTTTAAAGCAGCCTTTAGGAACTAGGAGTTTACCAGCTCTCCTCTCCTACCTCCCGGGACCCAGTGGCAAAAGGAGTTGGGAGAGAAAATATCTACCATTATTTAGAGTTTATGCAGGGGAAGCATGAATTTAGGATGACTCGGATTTTCATTAGAGGAAACATTCAAAGAATAGCTTGAAAACATGAGAGGCTTTGCTCCTGATTGACCTTGAGTTTCAGAATAGACAATGAAGGGCTTTTAGGGATTGAAGCAGGAGGGGAGACGGGATAGGAGATATTTGTGTAGAATGATATGTGGATGAGAATCTGAGGGATAAAGGATGACTTGGGAGTCCTGGGTTGCTTTGGTGACTCACAGCAGAAATAAATGGCACAAGCAGAAGCATCCTGATGCTGTTGAGAGAAGTCACAGTGATGATTCTGAGTGTTGGCGGATGCATGCTTTTGTTGGTGTTGAGTCAAAGAAGAGGTGAGGTCTTATTTGGACTGACCAGGTTCTACGATTTCCTCCTCATTCCCATGGAAGTTACTGGGTGTCCTATTTGTATCTTATCCCCAATGCCATTCATTGCCCAAACATGATGATCAATTGTTTGTTGACTGAAAGCAGTCCCCCCTTTTTAATAAACTATTAATCAACATTAGTTTAAATTTGAATAGAGGAGCTAAGGTAGATGATCCATTTTGAATACATTGAAATGTCTGTGGGGATTTTTATCCCAGGCACTGTTAAACTTCACTGAAGATGAATCATCGCTGACTCACGAGTCCAGCTCGTTTCACCTGCAGTGCTCGTTGTAAGTCACAGTGGCCTTTTACTGCCTACTATAATGGCTGCACAGTGGGGACCACAGTCCCTGGATTGTGCCCCACTAATGGAGTGGTTCATCAGTATCATTTCTTGTCCCTTAGAGGGAAAGAAAAGTGAAACAGAAGAACAGGATTTAATAGCACCTTTTTCTTCACTCAGTTGGGAAATATACCTAGAAAATACTGCAGAACTTACTAGTTTATAAGATAGTCTTCATTTGCTTCAGCAGTACATATTACTAAAATTGGAACGATACGGAGAAGATGAGCATAGCCTCTGCTGGAGGATGACATGCAAATTCCTGAAGCACTCCAATTTTTTTTTTAGAAAAAGAATTTTTAAAAAGGTAGTCTTTGGACCTTTTCAGACAATGACATTTTCAAAAAAATGAAATGATTTATTGCTTTTACTTATATAAAATGAAAGGATACAGAGACATGGGGATCAAGAACCCTGAAGTATCTTTAAGAAACATTTTGGTTGGAGAAGGAGTTTTCTTTTTTCTTTTTCTTTCTTTTTTTAATTTTATTTATTTATTTATTTATTTATTTAGGAGAGGTTTTTGCTATAGGGCTTATGCACTCGCCAGGCAGACAGAGAGAGAAAGAAAGAAATCACCCTTCAGGGGGTATGGCCACGCCACATCCCTTCTCCTCCATTCTCCTCTCAAGATCTTGGGCACGCACGCCCATGCACCCAGCATGAGTTTAAGCCACTGGGTCTGGGACTCAAACCATGGTCAACTACATGGGAGTCCAGTGACATAGTCGTTCTGCTGGTCCCAAAGAGTTTTCATTTTTAAGACAAGATTAAATCAGACAATCTTAGGTCCTCTGACATAAAGTCTATATTAATGTAAATCTGTAAGATTTGAATGTTTTTGACCAGATGACTTTACAGTGTTTCTTAGTGCTATGGACTCTACTGTGTCCCTCGTAAATTTATAAATTGAACCTCTCATAAGCAATGTACCTGTATCTGTAGATAGGATATTTAGGAGGTAATTCCTATGGTTTGAACAAATCTCCTAAATGTTCGTTTGTTGGAATTTGGCTTTATTGTGAAGGTATGAAGAGGAAACTTAATTTGACTATGGCATTAATAGGTGGAATGAGAGGTGAATAGGATGGGGCCCCCATGATTGATTCTTCATAGCTTATATTGAGAGGAAATGTTGCAGAGACATGTGGATATAGACAAGTACTCTTCTCTATTCTGTTCAAACTCATTTCATGTGATGCCTCACTCCATTTTGGGACTCTGAAAAGTCTCCATCAATAAGAAGGCCCTCACCAGATGTGGCCCCCAGACCCTGGATCTTCTAATGATGAACTGGATCAACCTCCATTCATACAAGTCATCCAGACTCAGATATTTCTACCCAATATAATGCAATGGACTAAAGAAGTGATTAAAGTTACATGAGTTCATATGGGTAGGAGTTAAATGTCATGGCCTTAAAAGAAGAGGAAAAGATGTATGAGTTCCTTATATATTTTGGATGTTAACTGCTTATCATGTGTCAAGTTTGTAAACATTTTCTTTCATTCTGTAGATTGCCTTTTCACCCTGTTGATTAATTCCTTTGCTGTGCAGGAGCCTTTTAGTTTGATGTAGTCCCACTAATTTATTTTTTGCTTTCATTGCCAGTGCTTTTGATGTCAATCCAAAAAATAAAACATCATTGCCAAGGCCAGTGTTAAGGAACTTTCCCCCTGTATTTCCTTCTACAGCATCTACAATTGTAGATCTTACAGCTCTAAGTTTTACAGTTTCAGTGCTTACATTTGCTAGGGCATGGGAGGAATGAGGAGATATTGGTCAAAGGGTATAAATTTTCAGTGATAATATAAACTTCTGGAGTCTAATGTGCAGTATGATGATTATAGTTAATAATTTTTTGTTTACTTGAAATCTGCTAAGAGAATAGATCTTAAGTGTCCTCATTCCTACAACCACCACATACACAGTAACAATGTGTGGTGATAGGTTTATTGACTAGTCTGTAGTAATCATAACATAATGTATACATGTATCAACTCATCACCTTATAGACCGTGAAAGTACACAGTTTTATTTATCAATTATACTTCCATGGAGCAAGGAAATAAAGAAGAGCAAGAGAAAGAGAAGTCTTTCTTTCTCCACCATGTGACGATAGTGAGAAGGCAGCCAGGAAGAGAGCCCTTACCAAACACCAACCTTGCTGGCACCTTAAGATTGAAATTCCAGGGACCAGCAGGTAGCATAATGATTACATCACTGGGCTCCCACATAGTCAACCTTTGAGTCCTGGACTCAGCAGCAGAAACCTCATTCAGGTGCTTGTGTATGCATGCTCAAAATCCCAACACAAGAATGAAGGAGAAAGAATGGCCATCCCCACTGAGGGGTGATTTCTGGCTTTCCATCCCTCTATCTCTCCAGTGAGTGCACATGTCCTATAGCAAACTACTCTCTTTAAAAAAGATTGAACTACAGTCCTCACAGCTGTGAGAAAATAAATTCAATGATGTCACCCAGTCTATGGTATTTTGTTCTGACAGCCTGAGCCGACTAAGAGACCAGCCTGCTTGCCTTTCTAAAACTGATGTTTGTTTCTGAAGGAACAACAGATTCCCATCTCATTATCAGTTAAGAGCTAAATTCTGAAACTCTATACAATAGTAAAACGTTTGCTCCCAAATAGTTTCTTTGAGAAATACTCTGAGACATTACGATCCTCCCTTAGACTGCCGGTGTCTCACTGGCATGAATGTGCTCTTTGGTGCATCACCAGCGTGCTGAGTGAATAAACAAGTGCAGGAAAAAGTCTGCTGAATGGTGAGAGACTGGAAAAGATTAAAATTCCAAATAATTGGTTGCTTTCCAGAACTCACAATGATTATAGATAATACTTACTGTTTACTTGAAATTTGATAAAAAGAGGCAATATTAGGTGTCCTCCCTCCTACCCTCCTGAAATAAAAGCCTTAGGTGTCTCTAGCACCCATGTTTGTGCTCAGTATGGATCAGGATAACAAGGACACAAAATTCATTTGAGCTTTTTGTTTTTCTAATTTACTGTTAAGAAGCAACTGGATAACTCAGTATCAAAAGTCTTTTTCTTAGATCAATAAAGGCAATCAAATTTTAATGCCTCTGTACACTTAGGTACCTGAGATTTAGCATTGCCTACAAATAGATGTCAGCACATAAAGAAAAAAAGTTGGTGGCACACTAAAATACATGAGGGCATTTAAGGCACCCAGCTACAGGGCTGGAAGGTGGTACAGTGGTAATCTGCTGATTTGAGAAGGTTCCGTGTTCACCTACAGCGACCTCTGTGAGTATGCCAGGCATGCGTGTGCCCATGATCGAGGGCTGGCCAAAGGTGGCGATAAATGGTGGCACTAAGACTCTATTAGGGGTGCTCTTTTTCTACATATGCCAAGTACTTCTCATGTCATTTTAACATTCTTATCATTAGTACACATCAGATTACTCAAACTTACACTATCTTTTGCTTAGATGATCTTGTTAAAAAAAAGCAATTTAAATTACTTTATAATTATTACTAAAAATGAAAGAAAAAAAATGATTGAAACAAGTTTAGGTCGGTTTTACCAGTTGGTGAGAGACATTGCCCAAAGACCAGCTCTCTTCCTCTACTCTGGGGCAACCAAGGACATTTTTCTCCCTCTATGACTATGGAAGGCACATTTTGCACTGGTTTGAACTAGAAAGGACCCAGACAAATTGGTTCTTGCAAATATGTGAACATTGTATTAAAAATATTAGTGCAAAATGCATCAATCTGAGTGTCCTGAGCAGCCCAAGTTGAAATAGTCTGTAACTCTTGTGGGAAAAATTGGTGACTTCTTTTTTATTATTATTATTTTTTGGTCAGTTCCTCTCATCTATTCCTTTTTCCTCTGATTCTTTCCTTAAAATTCTTCAATCTACATCTTCTCTGTACTATTTCCTCCCTTTCTCGGAGAGAAATGTAGGAAAATAGGTAAAGTACCATTTCCCACCTTTCGAGTCACAACTAGTTTAACTCCCAGCTCATCCATTTAGTTACATGAGTGATCCCGGCAAGTTACCTCTCTATGGCTCAGTTACCTCTAGATGCCGTCACACGGGCCAGTGTGTTTCCACCTCTGGATTTGGAGGGGACACATCAAACCATATCAGGGCTCAACCTCAGAATCCTTCAGTCCTGTTAGTGGGGTCTGGTGTGGTCTTCAGTGGAAACCAGGAGTTCTGGTGGCCAGAGGAAGGAAGATGGAGGGACAGTAGAAGAGAGGCTAAGAAACGTGGACTAAAAACAGAACAAAGCAGGCCAGAAAGAATAAGAACAGCTATGTAATGCAGAGGCCTGGGGGTTTGAGGAAAGGAAAAGCAGAAAATATCACCATGGATTAGAAAATATAATTTTTAGATGTTAAGCTCATATTGGAATTCCTCTTGAATTACATTCAGTTGTTCCAGTGTTTGTTGAGTTCTCTGCTGTGCATAGACTGAACCACTTAAGATGCCAGGGTTTTTTGCTGCTGTTGTTCTTGCTTTTAGGATTTCATTTCTTCCCTGTGAGCTTTGTACTTAGCTACAATTCTCAGCTATAGTTCTGAATAACAAATCAACACACATCTGTGCCAAGGGTTCATTTTCACCCTCGCTGCCTGAGTGCTGGACGCAGGGTGGAAAGCAGAGGCTAATTAGAAGTGAGTCATTATTGTTCTTGGAATCTAAGCACAGAGTCAGTGGGGAGAACGCATAGTTTAGGACCTGATGCTGTGGGCAACCAGTTTGCATAGCCTTATAAGATATTGTGAACTTGAAAAGAAAAATCGCTTTTACTTAGAACTGCATAGACCCTCATGTTTCCAAGATATTAGAGTACCTTTAGGCTGGCAAGAGGAGACGGACCTCGGACTCCCTTGAACTAGCTTTCAGGTTCTGATCTGCTATACCAGAGGAGGTCGAATGCTCTGAGGACTGGCTTATTACCATGGAACTTCAGTGAAAAAGACTTTTAATCCATGGGTATAAACTTTTACAGAAACGGAAGGGATTCTCAGGAAGAACCAAGCCAGAAGACAGAGAAAAGAACTTTGAGTCATGTTTTAAACATGTTGTTAATACAATGCCAGGATTTAATCCTCAGATGCTCCAAAATGTTTATGCCAAGTATGAGTCCACAGGCCCCCCAGGGCTATTCCCAGCCATCCAGTCACAGAAATAACCATTTCCTCTGAATAAGGGTGTGGAAGGTAGGCAGTGTCTAGGGTTCACAAGACTAATTTATGACCAGGTTCAAGAGACAGAATTGTTACAGT